GGGGGGAAGATTTATTCTCATATTTTGAAACACTGGAAAAATCATCCCCCCCCCCCCAAAGGGACCATTTTGTACATTGGTTTTTGAAAATCAGTGTACAAAATTATGTTGTGTCCATTCACAAAAACATACACTATTTTAATAGGTTTTCCTTGTTTTGCAAACATTTACAAACCAAGTGACCCCTGGTTCCACATTGCTTCGATCTTTGTCCAGGACTCACCTGTTCCCAAGTAAGTGTTGAGGTCCGGTGCGATCTTGGTCCACAGGTTGCACACTTCAAGCATCTCACACATTCGTGCAGATGAAAGCTGTGCCATTTTCTGGCAGGGAAAGGATCAGTTCAATGTTAAGAAACAGTAAGAATAAGTTCAATGTTTAGATAGGAAATGCCTAAGCCTCAACCCCCACAGCCATTTTAAAGTTAAGTTAAAGCGCGCATGTAGAACCTATGAAGAAATTCATAGGCAAGGTTCCACTGTTAAGGGCACTCAGTACCAAACATAGTTTACCATACCTGGCCTTTTGCTTTCCTGATGTGTCCTTGGGCGCCTTCCTCTCATGGTCCATAGCAACTCTGTTGAACCACAAGATCACGCTGTTCTCTGTGACAGTCTGAACAGGGATTTCTAAGTGAAGGATTTCTCTTGCTGAGTCAAAGTTTCAACAACCTGATTTGGAAAAGAACAATCACTCCAGGAAACACACAAACCAAAAAAACAGAGTGACAGTGTTGCGAACCTTGTATTCCCTCCATGGCTGTGACTGGACGTTGCCAATCACGTGGCCAGGAATGTAGTAGTCACCCTCAAGGTTCTCTAGAGTGAAAGCCGACTGTTCCCACCGGTACTTGTCACAGGTCCTCTTGAGGAGATCCAACACATCCACTGGGCAACGGATAAGATTGTACACAAGTTTCTTCACTTCATCTTTGACCCTCCAGTTCCTGTTGGAGATGGATTTGTTGTACTCCTGAACTGCTTTCATCAAGAGATCTCTAGTACTGCTCGTTGGACTGGATATTTTCTTCAGGCGAACGATTTCTTTGAATAGCAGTGTCAAGTCAAGAGGTCCCGGTCTTTGCTTGTCGGAAGTACGATTTGCCAAGCCTTGAAATTGTCCAGGCAAGTGTTCAAAAAACACATTCTACTTGAACTTGAAAAGAGACACGTTGATGTTTTCACCTAGTAAGCCTAAGCATTTTCCAAGATGGATTGCTTTCTAATGTGTGATGGTCACCCAAAGCAAGTGTATCATTATATATATATTATAATCATTCTGAACATTCCCAGGAAACTCAGTGCTTCATAGAGGAAGCGCTCTGGGGAATCTTGGGCTGAATAGTTTGCCCTCAAGTACTTCAGGGTGGCGACAACCTTGCACATGTGCAGATCTTCCCCAAGTTCTGCAGGATCGATGCCCTTAGAATGATTTTTTGTTATGGTAAAAAAAGGATTTACTGCCATTCAACTGTGAGTTGTTCATACACTGGGCACCAGGCGCAATAGTCCAACAAAGCGAAGATGGACTGAACAATCAAACCTTTTGTGTGACCATCAACGTATTTGACCGTGAAGTACTCGATGGGGGTGTTCTCACCCTGATCAAAGCGAACCTCCAAGGGCTCCCTTTCTGTTTCATACCCTCTGGACAAAAAGCTTCCCATGTGGGCACGGAGCTGCACGTTGGGAGGGAACCGTCCATATTTGGCATTCTCTGCAAAGGACAAATGCCAAGGGTTCAAGTAAAACCCTTTGCAGGAACCACCTGGTACATCAGCGCGCTTTGGCCCAGAGATTCGCGGGATGCTCTCCGCGACCTGTGGTACAGAACAGTATCGTCCCATCACCTGTCACTGAAAAGAGTTGAGTTTAAGCACGCCCCAAAACCCATTGCCCAGGACAAAACTGCTGGCCTCGCAAAACTGAAGAGGATCGTTATGATACCTGTCCCACATCCATTGACCCAGGTTCATCTGGTCGCACACCTACCCAAGAAGGTTCTCTGGAAAAGTTTTGGTGTGTGTAGAAAACTTTTCCGAAAGTGCCTCATCAAACGCGGCCATGACCTTGTCCTTCACGCTTGCACTCTCCATTGCCTGGCGGCAAACAACAATGATCACACAACATCCCACATTTACAAAGCACTGAAACACCCTTGGTTTTCACAGGAGGAAGCCTTGTGTTCCACTTTGACTTCTGCTTTGACTTCTGTTTTGACATCCTCTCTCTTGGCTTCCATCTTGACATCTTCAAGAGTCATTGGAGCCAGGGACTGTGTCACGTTCTAATCAGAACATGTCAGAACCATAAAGCTGTGAGCCCTTGCAGGAAAAAACACTGTGCAGTGTTGCCCAAACAATCACATATAACAAAGTTGCATTTGGTTTGTGAAACAAACTGTTCATTCAAGGCCGGTTCATCTAACTTGCAAAAACCAAGAGGTAATACGCATCATTTTCCCTGACATGCAGAAGAACCTGAAAGCACGGTTGGCCGGTCACAAAGGGCAGTTTCTTAGAAATGCCGATGGAACTGAACCTTCAATTTGTGCACTGCTTGCGGTGATGGTTCATTCAAGCTTGGAATCCCCCGCAGTATGTGAGGGGATGCCCCATTCAAAATCCATTCCAGGCTGGGAGGTTTAGGCCTATCCATGGCCACATCACCTGCCAATTGCAACAAGTACCTGGCACCCCTGTGACAATGAGGGTAAAACTCATTCAAGTGCTTCGCCAGCATGCGCAACTCCTCCTTGCGATCGTCCGCAATATATGTGGCTGTACCTGTGGAGACATTCAACAATTTGAGGAATTAGCAAGGGAGGTTGAACAAAATCACATTTGAAGGACCAATGATTGAAATCTTAGCCCCACACAAGATACAGTTCCTTCCCCAATCTTTCTGATTGTCTCATCCAAACGATCTCGCTCACTGCCCGGAAAAACCAGCAGAGCTGGTTGTGAAAGCTGTGTGTCGCTGACATACTTCTTGACCAAACAAAATACATCCTGGTCAGTTCTGTGAAAAGGAGCTCGCAGCCTGTCCTCTGCCTGGTTCAAGAGATTCCGCGGCATACCTAGCAAACCATTTTATCATGCACTATGCTGTTAATAATAATATAATATCATATTCAAAATATCAAAAAACAACTATATACCTATATATCAAATTCACTGAACCACTTGTTTGTCCAAGTGACTTTCTCGGCAAAGAAATGTGAAACTATGTGGTGCAATCTTCTCGTCTTCAAGAGAGCGCTTTTTGTATGCACCAAACATTGTGGAGAAAGGTGGTAGAGTGTCTGACCAATTTCTCACACTCTTGATGTATTCATCAAAATGCAGTCCACGACGTTCGAACAGCGGGGCCACTTGTCTCCGGAGAAGCCTGTCACAGACATGAATGAAGTTGTAAGCATCCTTCAACACCTCAAGCCAGTTTAACAAGCACATCTCGCCTGACTATGTCATCAGGTGTTTGCCTCAAAGACTAGAAATCACCTCCAGAATTGTTTCCTACAATGGAACAAACTGTTGTTGTTGTGCCTGCAATGGTTAAACCAATGCGAATGAGGAACACTGATTCATCACCATCCCGGATGTACTTGGTCAATAATCCAAAATATGCATCTGCTGGGTCAAAAAGGTGAAGGGACATACACACAGATATGTATATATATATATTACTATATCACTGCAGTGCAATGAGCAAACAAAAGCTGCCTATATCCTCGTGCGTGTGTCCGATGACCAAGTGTTCTTGACTTCCAGTCTTGAAATATCCAGCGGAGATCAAGGAGGATAGGAAGTGGCCAAGAAGGCCATTCTTGACCTCCTGGTGTTCTGCAGGGTGTTTGGTTATGTTTGCTTTGGGAACTCAATGTTGCACGCATTGCACATTGAAAAAACAAAACAGCTCTCCTTGGGGGTGTTGTCTGCGAACACTTTCAGGTGTTGGGGCCAAGGGCGGGAAGCTTTTTGGTTCAGCCTGAATGCCAGGTCCAGACTCCGGGCAATGGTCTCGATTGCCCAAGTTGATCCCACAGTTTGGTCAGAGTCAGTCACATAGGTACATATACAATGGCCGTGGATCAGGACAGAATAGAGTTCACAAGCTGGGCGCGCAATGTTCTCCAACCCTTTAGGTGTTCTCCCTTCTGCCCATCTGGGCAAGCTAAACTTGCTTTTGTCCATGCCATCGGCAATAAGGCAAAGAAGGTCCCCATCGTTCTTGCTGCGCGACCTGAACTCCCAGTAGACACTACGGTCAGCAAACTGACCAGCTAAGTGCCGGTACAGCTTGTCGGCTGCGTCTGCATGTTCTTGTACCCCCCTAGCGTTGCGGATTCGGGATCGGAGCTTGTGACATACATGGCATAGAGTGTGTTGGGAACGTGGGCGAAATCCAAGGCAAGATCTCCAGCCACTGTTCAAAGCCCTGAAAAATGTTGAACTGCTCGCTACATGTCCACCAGTCCCCACTTGATGGGAAACATACAAGTTGTACAAATCGGAATACCTCCCAGGAGGCAACCATCTTTTGATGCGGTTCCTTGGGCCATGGAATACATGAAGGTCTGCCTCGAGCGCTGAGTCTACCAGTGCGTTCAACAGCTCATCTTGCCCAGCCTTCGTAGTCATGGATGATTCCGAGAAGGCTCTGGCATCCAACCTGCAGACTCTCAGTCTCAAGGCACCTTTTAGTCTAGAGACGCCTGACCCCTAGTTAGACTCCAAGGTTTGGACTCATGTGGTAGGGTCTCGGCCACTGAAAGATATAACTTCTCCAGGAACACATTGCAACTTGCAAGTGCATCTGCTGTTTGCCTCCCCTGAGAACCTGGGAAGCAAAGGTATGGCTCTTAAGACCTAACATAGTGAAACTTGTTTAGTGCAAAACATGTTTGTAGCCAAAAGGCTGAATTTGCGCATGTCTTGACCCTTGAAGGATCTCCTAGTGCGCACCAGGCGCCCACCACTGATTCCCAAGAGGCGGATGAAAGCATCCCTGCAAATCTGCACACCTCCAAGAAAGACTGAAACACAAATGAAGCAAAGAACTTGGTGCAAACAGGACTGAAGGAAAAAAACAATATCAAGAATCAAGATCGAGACGCCTTGTAAATACCAATGATGCAACACACGTCTTGGTGTCCTTGACCTGTCCCCCTTCACTGGCAAACTTTCATCCTCAGAATCAGAACTCTGATCCTGATCCTCGCCAATAGTCATTGAAGACTGCATCGACCATAGCAAAGTGTCTTGAGCTGTTTTGGATAGACTCCAAAACATAAGCACTGTCGCAAGGACAGCTTTCAAAGAAACTTTGCGCATGCAGTCCTTCTTGCAAGAACAAGACTTCTTGAGAACTTGTTTGATTCTATCTTTGCTCCTGCCTTGCTCAGCAGCCATTGAATCATCCTGAGGCCTCCCTCTGCAAAGGCTGCTAACTGGGTAAGCAAGAGCTCACTGCGCTGAACCCTGCCCTGCGAGGACGAGGACTCTGACCCTGACGTTGAGTACTCAGGTTCATTTGAATCATCATAACTAGACCCTGAAGACTCACTGCTCGAGGACTCAGGAGACTCAGGAGCATCAAAGCGCTGCATTGCACTGAACAACAAATGACATCAAATGACAGTTGTCAACATCAACCCTGAAAGACAATTGACCTTGATAAATACAGACATCAGGTAGTCACAACAATGATTTTGCAATGCGCATGCAAACAAGTGAACATTGTTCCAATTATCTTGTAAAGTGACCTTGAGCAATGCAACAGGAATGTCATCCCTTCAAGGAAAAAACTGGTCACTGCAGCTTGAAAATCCACTGCTGGTTGGAATCATCATCAACGCGATTTCCCTAAATTGACCTCCATCATAAACGCCAAAGGCCATGTGCCGCTGGCCCAACCACAACCTATGTAAGAAGCTCTAGCTTCTTGCGTCCATTTGAATTAAGCTTCTCAACATCAGCGATGTGAAACAATGCGACCCACGCAGCTGCTGCACACTTGATGTTCATAGCCTAGCAGCAGGATTGAATGTGTTTGCTTGGTCCTGACCTGATTGGTAAAACCCAAACTCATGCCAGCTGCACATTGCCGGCCAAGCTGTGCAACTCCTGTGGGACCACAAATAAGTGATTTTCCAGGTTGTGTTTACTGCGAGGTCAACCCCAATCCTTCTCAGTCATGTGTAGATATTGAAGTTTCGAGATATTGAAGCTCTGAAAAACCAATTTGTCGCCACCTTACAGGGAACACTAGGGAAGCAAAGGTCTTAAATCTGAGGTTTAAGCACCAGAAATGTCAATCTGAGCACCAGACCACTGAACACCCGTCCACGGGCGTAGTTGAACAAGGCACCACTTGGAGTTATGCATGGTGCCCATTTGGCCATGGGGTTCATTCGATCTATTTGCTGGCTGACATCCAATGTACCTTTGAAGCCAATGTGGTGGTAGATGTCCAAAGCCTAACAAAGTTCAATGTCTCTCACAGAAGGGAGAGAGGGATGTCACTGCATAGGCCCTGACATGGTATGCACGCTGATTGGCAAAGTATGCCCGGCCCGGCTTGTAGGTCTTGAGATGAACCTGCTTGACCTGGCAGGACACTGTCAAAGACATGAGGGGCCGGGGTCGCAGCATTGTTGTTTGGCCTTGTGTTTCTGCATGGCTTCCCAATGTTTCAGAGGCCAACGTGGCTTCGAGATGGAAGGCCTGAGGATACCAAGAGACATCCAACTACTTTGGGCAGTACTTTGGGCATAGGATGCAATAAGGTTTGAGAGCCAACTCGTTTGGACACAGTCTCCCAAAGAACGAAGTGAATTACATAT